AATTAAACCCCAAATAAGTAGAAGACGGGAAAAATAAAGATCAGAGTGGAAGTCAATGAAATAGAAAATGAAAAAACAACAGAGAAAAATCAATGAAATAAGCAACTGATTATTTGAAAAAAACTAATAAAATTAATATGTTTTAGCTAACAATGAGAAAAAAAGAGAGCTGGCATAAAGTAGCAATATCAGCATAAAAGACAGACACCTCTAGACTAGACCCTAAAGACATAAAAGAACAATAGAGGATTATCATGAAACATTTTATACCAATTAATTTGACAACTTGAATGAAATTTTAAAAATTCCTTTAAAGACACAATTACCAGAACTGACTCAAGACAAAAGATAACTTGAATAGATTCACATCAAGGAAAGAAACTTATAGGGGAGCCTGGGTGGCTCAAGTCATTAAGTGTCTGCCTTTGGCTCAGGTCATGATCCCGGGGCCCTGGGACTGAGCCCCGCATCGGAATCCCCGCTCTGCAGGAAGCCTGCTTCTCCTTTCCCACTCCCCCTGCTTGTGTTCCCTCTCTCACTGTGTCTCTCTCTGTCAAATAAGTAAATAAAATCTTTTTTTAAAGAAAAGGAAAGAAACTTATAAATAAAAATCTTCCCACAGAAGAAGTTCAGACCTAGACTGGTAAATTCTTATCACTGTAATAAACCGTAACCATGAGTATAACAGCTTCTCTAAGTTTGTGAGCTCTTCTAGAAAATCATCAAATCTAAGGGTGGTCTTCCAGACCCCCAATACAAGTAGCAAACCAAATCCAGCAATATATAAAAAGAATTATACACCATCACCAAGTGGAACTTGTCCCGGAATGTAAGGTTGGTTTACTATCCAGTAACAAATTAATTGAAATTCCCTAATATAGCATATAAACAGACCATCTCAGTAAATGCAGAAAATGCATTTGTCAAATTCCAGCACATTTTCATGATAAAAACACCAATAGAATTGGAATAGAAAAGAAATTCCTCAACCTGACAAAGGGCATGAAAACTTACAGCTAGCATACTTAACACTGAAAGACTGGATTTTTCCCCATAAGATCAGGAATAAGACAAGGATGTCCACTCACCATTCTATTCAATATTGTACCAGAGGTTCTAGCCAGGGTACTTAGGCAGGAAAAAGAAAAAAAAGGCATCCAATTGAATTTCTCAATTTATACATGACAAAACCATTTATACAGAAAAGCCTAAGAAATCAACTGAAGAATGATTATAACTAACGAATGAGTTTATTAGTAAGTCTGCAGAATACCAGACCAATATACAAAAATCAGTTATATTTCCATACACTTGCAGTGGACAATCCAAAAATGAAATTAACGAAACAACTGCATATACAATAGCATCAGATAGAATAAAATACTAAGAAATAAATTTAACAATTATAAAACTTACACTCTGAAAACTATTTTGAAAAAAATTAATCTAAATGAAAGGGAAAGATGACATGTTCATTGGAAGATTTAATATTGTTAAGACAACAATACTCCTTAAATTGATCTGCAAATTCAAAAAACCCTGTCAGAATCTAAGGATATTTATTTGTAGCGATGGATATGCTAATTCCAAAATTCATTCCTGAAGAGCCAATGTTTCCAATCTTGGAAAAGAAAAACAATGTTGGAAGAATGACATCTCCCAATTTCAAAACTTACTAGGAGCAACAATAGTCCAGAGATTGGCATCGAGATAGATATACAGACAGAATAATATAGTCAGAAATAAACCCTTTCATGTAAGGCTAACTGATTTTTGGCAAGGGCATCAAGAACATTTGATAGGAAAAGAATAATCACTTCAATAAATGGTGGTGGTACAAATTCATTCTACAACGCCAGCATTACCCTGATTCTAAAACCAGATAAAGACACCACACAAAAAAAGAGAACTAAAGGCCAGTATCACTGATGAACACAGATGCGAAGATCCTCAACAAAATATTAGCAAACCGAATCCAACAATACATTGAAACATCATTCACCATGATCAAACGGGATTCATTCCCAGCATGCAAGGGTGGTTCAATATTTGCAAAAAAATCAACTGATATGTTCCATCAATAAGAAAAAGGATAAAGCCAAGTGATTATTTCAATAGATGCAGAAAAAGCATTTGACAAAGTATAACATATATTCATGATAAAAACCCTCAACCCTCAACAAATTAGGTTTAGAGGGAACATACCTCAACATAATAAAGCCCATACATGAAAAACCCACAGCTAACATCATACTCAATGGGGGAAAACTGAGAGCTTTCCCCCTAAGGTCAGGAACAAGACAAGGATATCCACTTTAGGGGCGCCTGGGTGGCTCAGTTGGTTAAGCGACTGCCTTCGGCTCAGGTCATGATCCTGGAGTCCCGGGATCGAGTCCCGCATCGGGCTCCCTGCTCAGCAGGGAGTCTGCTTCTCCCTCTGACCCTCCCCCCTCTCATGTGCTCTTTCTCCGCCTCTCTCAAATAAATAAATAAAATCTTAAAAAAAAAAAAAAGAGTACACTTATCTTGATGAGCACTGAGTAATATAAGGAATTGGTGAATCGCTATATTCTACACCTGAAACTAATACAACACTGTATTTGACTATATAGGTATTAAAATAAATAAAAATAAACAAAAATACATGTCATAATCAAAATAAAAATAAATAAATGATTAAATAAGTAAATAAATGGTGCTGGAACACATGGACTGCCACATGCAAAAGAATGAGGTTGGACCCTTAACTTCACACCATGTGCAAAAATTAACTCAAAATGGATCAAAGACCCAAATGTAAGAGCATTAACAGTATAAAACTTTTAGAAAAAAAACTTGGGGTAAATCTTCATGACCCTGGATTTGGCAATAGATTCTTGGATATGATACCAACAGTACAAGTAACAAAAGAAAAATAGAAAAACTGGACTTCATCAAAATTACAAAATCTTGTGCTTCAAAGGTTACTATTGAGAGAGTGAAAAGACAACCCGCAGGATGGAAGTATTTGCAAATCATATGTCTGGTTAAGAGACCTATGTCAAACAAGAACTCTAGGAGCTTCCAGGTTGGTGAACACATGGAGGTGTGCCGGGAGAGTGGTGCACCTGCAGAGGGCGTGAAGCTCTGCGCCCTTTCCCCATGCCCTGCCCTGTGTACCCCCTCCAGCTGGATGTTCCTGGGTTATATCCTTTTGGAGTAAACTTGCAATCTAGGTAAAGCACAGAAGAGCCATGTGAGTCCTCCAGATTTCTCTTCCCCTGTATCAGTGACAAGCTGGACTGCAGATGGTGTTAACTTCACTCAATTTGGATTCCTGAGGTACCATGTGGAGCATGCTCCCTGCTAAACTGTGTTGGATATGCAACATGTAAAGAAGACAAATCCTTGTTGTGTTAAAGCACTGGCATCTAGAGGTTGATTTGTAATATAGTGTATCTAGCCTGTCCTAATTAATAATAAAATTAGTACCAGTGAACAAAAGAACTTTATAAAAAACTTTATCTATACAAAGAACTTTACATAAAAGTTCCATGTAAGTTCTGTATAAGAATTTGATCTCTATAAAGAATTCTTACAATTCAATAATAAAAAGACAAATAACTCAAAATAGACAAAGGATCTCAACAAAGTATTTTCTGAAGAAGATACATAATGGCCAACAAGCAGATGAAAATATGCACAACATAATTAGTCATTAGGGACCATTTTAGTTAAACACAAAGTTCCTATATGACCCAGCAGTTCCACTCCTAGGTACATACCAAAGAAAAAATAAAACATATGTCTACACAAAAACTTGTACATGAATGTTTATAGTAGCATTATTCATGTTGTGAAAAGGTGGAAACAAGCCAAATATCCATTAACTGATGAATGGATAACCAAATGTAGTATATCAATACAATGGAATATTACTCAGCCAAAAAAGAAACGAAGTACTGATACATGTTATAAGGTGGATAACCCTCAAAAACAGTGTGCTAACTGAAAGAAGCCAGTCACAAAAGACCTCACATTATATTATTTCATTTAAATAAAATATCAAGAGTAGGCAAATCAATAGAGAGTGAAAGCAGATTAGTGGTTGCTTAGGGCTGGGAGATGGGGAACAGGGGTGTGAGTGCTAAAGGGTACAGGATTTCTTTCGTAGGTGATAAAAATGTTTTAAAATTGACTGTGGGAATCGTTATATATATCTGTGAATACACTAAAAAACCACTGAATTGTTAACTTTGAAAGGGTGAATTGTAAGGCATGTGAGTTATATCTCGAAGTTGTTTAAATACAATAATAACGAAATTTCAGAGAACAGCTACAGTATGCACTTTACTGTCGACAGTCACACTGTGTACCCATGCTTATATCCCATTATTCCCCAATAAAAATATTTTGTGAAGGCAAGCCTAGCAAATTTCTGCAGAAAAGCCATAATGATTCCTAACTCCAAAAATCTGTACACATCCATTGCTAGAGCTTGCCTTCACCCTCCTCCTGCCTAACCCACACTTCAAATATACTTTAGAGTGTCTGGTTCTTGCTTGGAAAAAATGCCTTCTTAAGTTATGCCACATCTCTTTAGACTAGAATTTTCAGTGAACTCCTAAAACGTTAACTATATTGGTCGTGCAATTTTATACAGCCATGAACTTTGATGACTTGTCTTTCCATGTACAACCTATGGTTCTGAAAAGCATCTGACTTCTATTGCCTTTGAATTTCTTCTAGAAAGGCACTAAAGATATGATTGTCAATCATGTCTACAAAGATATGAGTGAATCAGTAAGAAATTTTTCTTCTCTTCACAGCTCACTATTACCTAATTAACAAGTTGTTGAATACTTACATGTTCAGCACAGGAGCAAGAAGGAATAGGAGCAAGAAGGAAGAGGAGCTGCCAATCTGGGTGGAAGCATAAATCTCAGCCACCAGCCAATTAAAAACAAAAACAAAGAAACTGAGATTTCACTTCCCTTGGCTCCCACCTGCCAGATTTTTACCTGGACAGATCCAATCTGATATGTGTCTCTTTATGATCCATGGTTCTTCTCCTTGTTCCAACTTGGAGATGATATCTGGTTTGGACACTGGATGCCCTATTATAGAGAAATCAGAGAGGAATTGGGTTGACTACACTGAAGAAAAAAGAAAGGCACCTGGGTGGCTCAGTCGGTCAAGTGTCCGACTCTTGATCTCAGCTCAGCTCTTGATCTCAGGGTCGTGAGTCAAGCCCTACTTAAAAAAAAAGGGAGGGTGCTATTTTAGGAGCCCCACAGTAAAGCTGTCCAGCCTGCTCTTAGCAGAACACTGACCTTCTGCTGGAGAGAAAAAAGAGAGCACAAAGTCAGTCATTACATATGTCAGGAACCCACCCAACTTGATCAAAGGAGAAGAGAGAGGCACCGGATTGGAAGATGTTGTGATATGGGGGGAAGCCATCCTTACCCAATGAGACTAGGTGGCTGAAGTTCTCCAGCATCACATCTCTGTACAGGGTCCTCTGAGCAGGGTCCAGTTGCTGCCACTCCTCCTTGGTGAAAGCTATAGCCACATCCTCAAATGACAATGGACCCTATAACAGCATGCTCCTGTTCAATCTGAAGTGATCAGTCTTATTTTTACCATAGCATGCCAAACCATATGCCCAGTTCTACATCATGCCTATTCAGAAAAATGATGTAAAATTCTGTCTTTAGCAAAAAGAGTCAAACACATCACAAGAACAGAAGAGCAAAAGAGAATCACAAATGGCAATTCTTTTAAAGGCAGCATTTCAAATAAATTATTCAACAAATGGTTTTGGGAAAACTGGATAGTCAATTAGTTAAATAATAAAGTTGAGACTTTATGTTTTAAAAACAAGAGAACAAATAATTTCCAGATGGAGAAAAATCTAAGCATCACAAATTATTAATAGTGGTTATCCCAGGAGAAAGGGAATGTTCGGGTCCCTTTCACTTCATAATTTTTATTTTTTATGTTTTTTAAAATGTTTTTACCAAGTAGGGATAATTCAGGCCAGGACAAAAAATAGTCCTGGCCTGAATTATAAATTGAAAAAATTGGACCAAAAACCGGCATTCTGTTGGGGAGTTGCCTCACAAACCCTGAGACCATAGCAAAGGCTATGGAGAATCAGAGACCCCTGTGCTCCCAAGTGTTTGCCACGAATTTTAAGTAAAGAACTGCCTATCTGAGAGAAATAATTACTTTGAAGACAAATAGATACTCATCATTCCACCTTATCTAGGTTTTATCTCTGGATAAACTATACCTTAGTTCCCCGAAGAATAATGCTTATGGAGTTCAGCTCTAACATTATGCTAACTGCCTTCTAAAAAAAATATTTAAAGACACAACCACAAAAAATCTGACATATTTATGCAGAAGTATAGGTCAGGACATCATCTATAGAAGATCCCCCAAAATGGGCGCCTGGGTGGCTCAGATGGTTAAGCGTCTGCCTTCGGCTCGGGTCATGATCCCGGGGTCCTGGGATCGAGTCCCGCATCGGGCTCCCTGCTCCTTGGGAGCCTGCTTCTCCCTCTGCTTCTCTCTCTCTCTCTCTCTCCCTGTCTCTCATGAATAAATAAATAAAATCTTTAAAAAAAAAAAAAGAAGATCCCCCAAAATGAATTTCTTTTTGTCCTAATGTCAAGAAATATTTTCATTGAAAATTCAGTTGATTTCTATTTGTGGAGAATGCCAAATCATGTATATGATGTCCTCTACCGCTCCCCTGTGGCTGCTAGAAAAGATAGAACAAATTTGCACTTTATTTTTTTTTCAAATTTGTACTTTAATTTACACACTTATGTAAAATAAACATAATGTAAGTATAATGTACATTATATTTATATAAAATTTACATATAACAAATATACATGTATGAACTATAATAGTTGTTTTATGTGGCATAAAACCACATAATCTACATATTACATAGCAACTCGTCTCCAAGTCTTTGTTCTCTCTACATTTTCCCTAATTCTAATTTCTAGCTTTCTGCACTTTTCCATTTGATTATATAGAAACCAAGTATAAAATAAGCAAGCAACTCACGTGAGACTTGGTCATTTTCTGCTTCTCTTCCAAAAGAGCAGAGGTCTGAGGAATCAGGACTGAAAGACAGACTAAATCTCCAGGAGCCATTTACCAGTCTAGAAACAACCACCAAGAGGAAAACAGGCCACCCTGTAGAAGGTCATTTGATCCTTATAGAAGGGTCTGTAAGCACCACGTGAAAAAAGTCCTCTTGTGACTATATGATCACCTAGAACTTGTACAAGGTGTATTTTTAATTGGATGAATGCAGATATTTCTGTTGATATACAAACACCTTATTGTTCCCCTTTGAACCAGCAATTCTATTTGTAATTCTATCTGTAAGACTCTATCCTAAGACAGTAATTATGTATACATATATATGTAAGGTTTAACTGCAGATGGAGCAGTTCCCTGACAAAAAGAATAGGAATGACCAAGTAGAAAATCGAGAATGTACCCATATTCCCCAGACATAAGCAGCCAGCAAAATCCTAAGAGCTCTTTTATATTCTCCCCTAACTCAACAAATTCTCTTGCCAAGTCAATATTCATAGATTAAAACTGTTGATTTTGTTAATTTTAACATGTTTTTTGTTTAAGTTTGTATTGCTGATATTCAATAGTGCAGTTGTCTATATAACAAAATAGAGTGTCATGTTAGAACCATTGATAAATGGGAATATACTACAATGCGTAAAGATACATACCTGGTAAATTCTTCTCAGTCCCAGGATGGGTCACACAGAGAAGGCTGCACTCACTCACAGAAGTGAGTACTCCCATGAAAGGTAGACTGTTTCCTATGGGGTTATCCCAGGCTTTGTCAAAATAACCTGGAAGAAAACAATCGAAGACTCATGCTCCTCTCTGGACACCGAGCTCTGAAATAAGTAAAAAGCAGGTGTTTGATAAATGTTTGCTGAGCAGAATGTAGAACAATTTCAGTAAACAGGAAGATGGGGGACTGAAATCACACCTCACATAAGAAGAAAAATGGGCGCCTGGGTGGCTCAGTCATTGGGCGTCTGCCTTCGGCTCAGGTCATGATCCCAGGGTCTTGGGATCGAGCCTCGCATCGGGCTCCCTGCTCCTCAGGAAACCTGCTTCTCCCTCTCCCACTCACCCTGCTTGTGTTCCCTCTCTCGCTGTGTCTCTCTCTGTCAAATAAATGAAATCTTTAAAAAAAAAAAAAAGAAGAAGAGCAACCCTCACATTTCAGAGCTGGCCTGGCACTCAAATTCTCCTATTTAACATAATTACATAGAACATCAACGTCAGACAAGGCCACTCTGTGACCACGACAGAATAAGACAAAAACAAGACCTCTCTGAAATCATGTCTGAGACACAGACAAAACATCAACATTGTCCAATCCACAAAACACCCCCTCTCTGAGTTAACATGAGGGACTGCGACTTCCTTACCTATTACAGCTTTAGCTTCAGGATAGTCTCCTCACTCTAGATGTATTGAAATCCCCCATCACGAATTACCCCACTTCCTCATAACATCCAATTCATAGCAAGGTCCACCCTCTTAGGCCCTCCTCAAAATCACCTAACACAAGGAGAAATCCTCTAAGTTCTAACACCCTCTTACGAGAAGCCCCCACTTTCCCCATGGTGTGCATGTTTCCAACTAGATGCTAGAGCCACATACCCAACTTATTCAACTCAGGGTGTTCCTGGTGGTCTTTGGCTGGAGAGAATTGACAATAATAATGTTATTCCTTCAGATTTGTTTGGTCTTACGTTCAAAGGATGTTTTCTTCCGTGAGGACGTGAGTGATGGAGGGAGATGGAGGTTTGAGAAAACATCTGAGGAGGGGTTTCAACTTGGGGGCGGCCTCTGACCTGCAGAAATTGTAAAGTGAGGCCTTTCCCACTAAACTAGAGCTGACCTTTATCAGTCCCTGGCTGCATTAAAACCCCCTACAAATCACTGAATCACCAGGTGCAGAAATCCCAAATCCCAAAGAGCACCTGCACGGAACCCCGATCACACGACTGGCCATACAGGTCCACAAATCACTGGCCACACGGATGCTCCAACAGCGCACAGACCTGCCATCCCTGACCCACAGATCATACAGCTCTCGCTATTACTGACCCCTGTACGTACCCAACATTCATCCCAGACTTCCCATCAGTCTTCACAGACCTCCAATTACTGACCTCCGCCCCAAAATCAATGCCAGACTTCCTCATGACTGAACCCATAAATTCCCCTTCTGACCCCCAGCTCGATTATCAGGTCCCGAAACGTCCGTCCCAGCATAACCCCAGACAGCTGTCACAGATTAACGTGGATTGAAGAACTCTCCCGCTTCCTGGCTGGGAGAGCACAGCACGGGACTCCCGAGCATGCGCCGAGCCGTACAGAGCGGTTCGGCCCACTCTGCACCCTCGGCGGCTTTGTTCACTAGGCAAGATGGCGGCTCCCAGGCACTGTGTCTCTTTGTAGGAGCTGCCATATTGAGAGTCCGGTCAGGTCCGTACACGGGGAGGAATTCGGTTTATTCCTAACCTGAGTTTGGACCGTGCCACAGCGGCAGCGAGGGGAAGAGGCAAGATGAAGGAAAGGAGGATTATACAAACCAGAGAGGTGCGAAGTTTTGCAGAGAGCTTTTGCAGGAGGATTGGGGAAGAAGTTGCAGTAGTACAGTCCTTTACTGGGGAAAAAGGACTTTGGAATGGTGCAATCCTTTTGTAAGGGATTCCACTTAAAAGTGCTGGTAATGGTACAACCCTACACCGGAGGATTCCACTGTGGGACCGAGGGGCAGAAGTGATGGCCGAGTTCAAGGGGGGCGGAGAGGTGTCATAAACCGCTAATTATGCTAAAAACAATGAGAAGGAATCGCCTAAGGGAAATTACAACTACAGTAATATGTTGCAGGGACCGACTGATGAAAAAAGGAAAATTGAGACAGGGAAGAGGAGACTGAGGCACAAATAATGGAGACTCTGAAAAACAGAACGGAGACGAAGGGAAAGAGGAGACAGAGGAGGACTGAGAGTGACAGAACGAGGTCTGAGACGAGGGAAGAATGAAGGAGGGGGGAGACTGAAAGAGAAAACTGAAACGAGTGGAAAAGGGAGACGGAGGAAGGGTGACCGACCGCCCAAGTCTGTCTGGAATGTCCCAGGAAATCCCTCGCCTGGACTTCAAAGGTCCGGGTTTGAGGAGGTGGGTGGGAAAAGTTGAGGGAAAGTGTGAAACCTATAAGGTACCTCAAAAAGTAAGGCGGTGAGCAACATCGTTTTTAACCTCAAGTGGATAAGGCATAGATTTTGTGCCTTTCCTAGTCACTATTGCTGCCCCCCACCCCGTTTCTGATGTTGGCGCCCTGATTGAGGTTTATAATAATGAATTACCTATCCATCGTTGCATCACTCAGGAGTGATGCGTCTTAAGTATGTAACTTAAATGCATCGCACTCATAAGCATTTACAGTCTTTGGCTTTGTGGATTAACTGTTGTACTTTGTACGGACATAGCGCTAGTTTATTCTTTAATATTGTAAGTACTGTGACCATGTTTTTTAAGAGTTCACAAATGAAAATAAAAACAATTATAATACCAACGACAGCATGACCCGTATATCACCAAAAAAGCCTCTTATTTTAATGACAGATATAAAGACCCATCGACACCTGGATTAGGGAGATAAATAACTACAACAGCAAATTGCACAATATGCAAAAGAATTCAGGCTTGGGCATGGTGGTGAAGGGGATGTGAAAGCTCATATGGAGACTGAAACAAATCTAGGATGACAAGCAAGTACTTCTAAATAAATAAACGGGTTTTTGTCTCCCCAAAAGACACAGATGCTGAGTTGAAAATACTGACTGCCCAATTACATTAGAGAACATAAACATGTATTATTGTATACTTCTATTCACTGATATATAAAACTGAATAAAGTTACATTTCCAAACTCAAATGTTGCAACTAAAATGTCCTGTGGACAAACAAAAGGAGAAATTTGATAACAGATGTGTTGGCCCCTGACAGTGTAGAGCCAATCCTGCTTTCAAGACTATGTCAGATGATACATCAAATCATGACAAGAAAAAAAAAAATCCCCTAGCTCTTCACTCTTGGATTGAAAAATGGAGGTCAAACTGGCTTCATTTTTATAAAGATTTTCATGAAACTAAAGACAATATAAAATTGTTGATATCTTGTCCAATTGTAAACTAGACTTTGCTCATCTATAAAAAATGTTCAGCAGATACTCCAAATGTAAATCTAGGCCAGTTCGATTCACTCTATAAATTTATCAAAGATAATGAAACCATCTTACTTGCTAAAACAGCATATAATTGGAGAGAGCATATAGCTGGAGCATGTTTTCTTTTTTCCCATCCATTAATTTAATCCATTTACATTTAAAGTGACTACTGTTAAGAACTTCTGTCATTTTGCTATTTGTTTCTATGTGTCTTTTTTTGTGTGCCTCAATTCCCTCAATACTGCCTTCTTTTGTATTTTTTTTTTACTGTGTACTATTTTGATTCCCTGCTTATTTCTTTGAATATGTTTTAGTTATTTTCTTATTGGTTGCTATGGAAATTACAATTAACATTCTAAATGTACAACAAACTACTTTGAATCATTACCATCTTAGTTTTAACAGCACACAAAGCACTGATCCTTTACAACTCTGTCCTCCCCTTACCTTCACCTTTATGATGTTATTGTAAACAAAACTGACATAAGGTCAGAAGTTGTTACAAGGTAAAAAAGGTCTTTATATATTGATAAAAGGGTCAATTCATCAAGAAGATTAACAATTATAAACGTTTATGTGCTAAACAACAAAGACCAAAAATACTGAGGCAAATATTGACATTATTAAAGGAGAAATGCACAGTTCTGTAATAGTGGGAGACTTCAACAGATACTTTACATAATGGACTGAACAGAGAGACATAAAATCTAAGGAAATAACTCGATTAACACTTACACTAGACCTAACAGACATATAGGACACTACACCCAGCAACAGCAGAATACTCATTTTTTTCAAGTTCACATGGAACATTCTTCAGGATGTACCATATTCTAGGCTACAAAACAAGTACCAATACATCTTAAAAAACTGACATCATATAAACTATGTTCTCCAACCACAAGGAAATGAAATTGGAAATTAATGAGAAGAAAAACTGGAAAGTCCACAAATATGTAGAAATTAAACAGGACACTATTAACCAATGGGTAAAAGAAGAAATCACAAGGTAATTAAAAATACTTGGAGACAAATGAAATAAACACACCATACCAAAACTTATGGGATACAGCAAAGGCAGTGTATGGATGGAAATTTAGAGTTGTAAATGCCTCCATTTAAAAAAAAGAAGAAGCAATATTGCAAGCAATTACCTAACTTTACTCCTTAAGCAACTAGAAAAGACATGAAAACTAAACCCAGAGCTAGCAGAAGGAAGGAGATGATAAAGATTTGAGTGGAAATAAACAAAATAGAGAAGAAGAACAATGGAAATCATCAACAAAACCAAAAGTTGTTTCTTTGAAAGATCAGCAACATTCACACACCTTTTACTAGACTGACTAAGAAACAAAGACCCAAATTACTAAAATCATACACAGTTGACCCTTGAACAACATGGGTTTGAACTGCATGGGTCCACTTATATGCAGATTTTTTTCAACAAATACAGTACAGTACTGTAAATGTATTTTCACAATGATTTTCTTAGTAACACTTTCTTTTGTCTAGCTTACTTTAAGAACAGTATATAACACCTGCAACATACAAAACATGTGTTAATCAACTGTTATTGGTAAGGCTTCTAGTCAACAGTAGGCTATTAGTTACATATTGGAGGAGTGAAAAGTTATATATGGATTTCCAACTGCATGGGGGGTGGGTAGCTTCCCCTAAACCCCATGTTGCTCAAAAGTTAACTGTATGATGGTGGGGACATTAATACAGAATTACAGATGAAAAAGATTATAAGGATACAATGAACAATTATATACCAACAAATTAGATAACCTAGAAAATGGATAAATTCCTAGAAGCACACAAACTACTGAAACTGATTCAAAAAGAAACAGAACAGTCCTATAACAGACTTATAACGAATAGACTGAATCAGTAAGCAAAAACCTCCCATCAAAGAAAAGCTCAGAACCAGATGGCTTAACTGGCAAATTCTACAAAACGCTTAAAGAATTAATGAAAATTATTTTCAAACCTTCCAATATTATCTGGCTTTTTGATGCTATCCATGCTAGTGGGTGTGAAGTGATACAAAAGCCAGACAAAGACATCATAAGAAAACTACAAACCTGTATCTCTTATGAATATATATGAGAAAAATCCTCAACAAAATGTTATCAAACCAAATACAGCATATTAAAAGGATTATATACCTTAACCAAAGTGGGATTTATCGTAGAAATAAGGGTCACTCATCATTAAAAAAATCTATCAACGTACATTAAGAATCAAGGGGGATGAAATCACGATCATCTCGCCATCTCAATTAATGCAGAAAAAGTATTTTACAAAATCCAATATCCTTTCATGACGAAAACACAACAAACTAGGAGCAGAAAGAAACCTGCTAAACATGATAAAGTCCACTTATGAATAACTGACAGGTAACATTATATTATATTCAGTGGTAAAAGACTAAAAGTTTTTCCCCTAAGATAAGCATAGAACAAGGATGCTTTCTTTCAGCCCTTTATTCAACATTGTGTTGAAATTCCAGCCAGAGAAATTAGCCAAAAAAAAGATATAAAGGGCATCCAAATTAGAAAGAGAGATGTAAAACTGTATCCATTCACAGGTAACACAATCTTAGTGTTAAAAAAAAAAAAAATCCCCCTCCTGTCTCACATACAAACTATTAAAGCTAATAAAGGAATTCATTAAAGTTGCGGGACAGAAGATCAGCATAAAAAGTAAGTGGTATTTCTATACAATATCAATGAACAATTCAGAAAGGATATTAAGTTAACCACTCTATTTATAATAGTTTCCAAAGGAATAAATTAAACCAAACAAATACAACACTTCTACATTGAAAACTACAAAAACATTGCTGAAAAAAAATTAAAGACCTAAGCAAAAGGAAAGGTAATATGCAATCTTTGATTGGGAAACTTGATATTTTTAAGATGCACTATTCCCCAAAGACATCTACAGATTCAATGAAATTCCTATCAAAATTCAGTGGCTTCTTTTGCAAAAATGGAAAAGATGATCCTTAAATGCATATGGAATTGCAAGAGACCCAGAATAGCTAAAACAACCTTGAAAAAAACAAAGTTTGGAGGGCTTACACTTCCTGAT